GACAGTGATAGTGTTTCCCTGGGGAGAAGAAGGGAGGATGGGTGCAGGAGCAGCTGCAGGTGAACTTCAGTGTTTGTGTCCAAAGTGTTTCTAGAAGATGTAATGACTCCCACCAATGACAATTTCACTGCAAGCCACAGTCACTGTTCAGTACTAATCCCAGAAGTTCAAATGTCCATCTACTTTCTAATCTGAATGTAACTTTGACTTGTTATTGCTGGATCATCTGAATATGTTGATTTCTGCAGTTAGAGATCTCTTTTTATCTCTCCCTTTTTTATGACCTGACCCAGTTAATCTGTGAAAGTCTAGATAGGTTTGAGTTCCCAAATCCATCACCTTGACAACACATATTAAGCAAGCTCTTGGTCTGGGAATTCCAAGTGTTTGGAGGTAGCACTCCTGCTCCTGTTCCTTGAATTGGATACTCCTGGGTGTAGACTTGCATATGGAAATGTCTGTTGTTTGGTAGACTGGATGCAGGCTTGCTTTTGTGAGGGACTGCCACCTTAATCATCGCACTCAGTCTTTGCCAAATGCAGATGTTTCAATGGTGGGTGTGTAATATTGCTGGTGAAAAAAATGGCAAGGTCTGATCTGTGAAAGGAGAGTAAGCAGGCTATTAATAGGATAATCCTGGCTACAGCTCTTGCCTTTGCCTTCCTTGCCATCAGGTCCACAGAGACCCTCGATTTGATGACTTGTCTGGAGAGTATAAGCCTGAAATATTTATGAAGACGTACAGCTTCCTGGACAGCATCAAGAAGCAGGAGAAGGAGGTGATGCTCTGTGCCTGTCCTTGCCTGGAAGAACCTTGCTTGGCAGGGGCTACTTCTTCCAAGGCTTTTCACAGTGGAGGTGACAGACAGGCAGTCATGCAGCTTTCTGCTCTCTTTTAGATGGTTCAAAAGCAGCTGAAGAAATGCCGGAACATGGAGCAGAAGGAGAAACTTCAGCAGCTTCTGAACCGTATGGTGAGTTCAGCACATCGTCTCTCTGTGAGTCACTGGAAGAGAGGATGTGTGACCTGAGGTCTGCCTCGATGCTGACACAGGCCATCTTTTTTGTACAGACACAGCAAGAACAGGCACAGAAAAAACAGCAGAAGCTGAGGGAGAGAGAGCTGTCTTTGAAGAGACAACAGAGGGAATTGGCCAAGCAGGGAAAGAAACCCTTTTTCCTAAAGAAATGTAAGTATTCAGTGTGAACATGCTGCAGGAAGACCTAGAGGGAGTACTGCTGACAGGAATTCAAGCACTTGTAGTGAGGTGTCCATACTATTCCACAGAGCCATGGAGGGATTTTTCTAGTACTGGTGCTCAATGGGCAAACTAAGCCTGGGAGCCAGGGAGGGAGAGGTGAGGACGGGCTGGTCTGTAGATGTGTTTTGGGCTTCGATTTAAAACTTTGCTTCCCTCTCCTCTACAGCTGAGAAGCGGAAATTGGAGCTAGCTGAGAAGTATGCAGAGCTGAAGAGGAGTGGAAAGCTGGAGAGCTTCCTGAGCAAGAAGAGGAAGAGAAATGCCATCAAAGACAAGCGCAGTCTACCCTCACAGAAGAACTTGTGACGTTGGACAGATGTGCTGTTGTCTGGCACTGGGACTCATTCTGCCTTAGCCAGGCCTGGAAGATGGCTATCCTTCTTCCCAATATCTGCCTTCCACTGCACAGTGATGCTGTAAGGCAGCAGAGCAGAGGCTGAACTGAAGGAAATAGTGAGGTTTTTGTAGCTGAAATATCCTCTTAACTTGTGGTTTAGACCATGGGTGGTGACAGTGTGTCGTGCAGATGCTTACAGTGTTGACAGCTGTTTTTGTCCTTGCACCTGCTCATTTCTAACTCTAGCAAGGAAAGCATGAGTCCTGCCCTGCATTGCTGGCTCTACTCCAGGTTTTCTCAGACTTCCACTGAGGTGGAAAAGGACCTGTTCAAAGCAGGGCTGGCAATGACTTCAGACCAGGTTGCCATGGGATGCATTGGTGGGGTCTGTTAATGTCCCAGGAGAGATGCCACCACCTCTCCTGGCGTCTGCTCTACTGCCTCAGGTTCTCAAGATGGAACTTTTTGTTCCCTCATCCAGGAAACCTGCCTGGTGCTATCCATATCATTGTCTTGTTCTCATCGAAGTGCCCAGCTGTCTTTCAGTAGCCTTGTCACAGGTCTGAGGGGTGGGTGGAAAAGAGGGGCTGTAAGGTCTCTGCAAAGTCTGTTCTTCTTAAGGGTCAATAAACCCTGTTCCCTCAGTCTTTCCTTGCAGTGCTTCAGCCTCTGACGACTTTCACATACTGCACTGGAGTCAGCCCAGACAACCATCTGTCTTTTGGTGGCCCAGCCTGGATGCAGTATCTGGATGTAGTCTCACAAGGGCTGAGTAAAGGGAAGAGGATCACACTGCTCTGCATGGGCTGCACCTAGTGATGCAGACCCAGCTGTGGCTAGCCTTCCTCTGTCACAGGGCATGCTGCTGACTGCTCAGCTACTGCTACTCCTGATCTCTCCTTCAGAGCAGCTTGGCCTCTCTCCTTGGCTTCTCATGGTTGTCTCCACAGGGCTGTTAGTGCTTCTGGGAAGCTGATCCTGTATGAAATAAAATACTGGTTTTCCTTTATTCCCAGTGTCGTTGCTGTTACAGTCAAAAGTGTTTGAACTTAGGGGAGTTAATGCCTCTCTCCAATATTATGTTTGAACACCAGCTCTCTTGTTTCTCCTTACTCTGGTTACCCCTGTCTGCTGTGGTTGTGCTAATAAGGAGGTGACTTGGATGATCCCTGTCTTACAGGTTGGAGCTGGTGCTGGGAGAGTGCCTTGGCTCTGCAGAACAGGGCATTGCCTGGGCACAGCTGTGCTGTGTGCAGGTGGGCCACAGTTGTGTGGGGCCAGGGGACAGGCATTGCTATAAGCAAAACATGGAACAATGAGCAGCTCATTGGCCTGAGGGTGTTGCTAAAGCACTTGCCTCCACTGCAGTTCCTGTGGGTGATGCTGTGCTGACAGGTCTTAGTGTAACTGGGGGAAGGCAGTAGAAATTGGATGTGCCAGCTTGGCTAGAGACCTGCTGCCACAGCCTTGCTAAGGAGCCATGTGGCATTCCTCAGCATTTGAGTACGTGTCCCCATGTAGGGCGCTTGTAGGTCCTGTACAGGAGGTGGCAAGTCTGGTGGACCCAAAGTGGTCTTGCTTTCCCCTCCTGCCCCTCTGGAGCCAAAGGGCATCTTCTTGCTGAGGCCTGTACGCCTTACTTTGCTTACAAAGGAAAGGGGTGGAGCTTTAGTGTTGAATATTCAATATACCCGCGTCACAGCGAGCGGGCGTGGTTTCCACCAAAAACACGCCGAGACAGTTGAAGTTCAGATGGTCCTACGTTGGAAGCAGGAGTGAGGGCTGCTGGTGGCGCGCTCCGGAGGAGAAAGGGTGCAGGTCTAGGATCCCAGAGACCGTATGGCTGCTCGGTGCCACCGGGAATGCCGTCTGCTTCTCCTCCAAAGGGAGGGAAAGGCACCGTCCCGATGGGTCCGGAGTCGCTCCGGAGCTATTTTCACAGCCACCGAGATACCCTGCAGCCTGCCGCCGCCTGCTACATCCCGGCTGTGGAGAGAGGATGTAAGATCGGGGATCCCAAGGCTGTGTGGCTGCTCAGTACAGAGAGAAGCCGCCGCGGCTACTGAAAGCGGAGTTTCTGCACCTTCAAAAGGAGGGGGCGGCCCTGGACCGCACGCCGCTCCCGGGGTTTGCGCAATCCCTTAGCAGATCGCCGCTTCCCGCTTTTGAAAGCCGCCGACGCGTTTTTGCCACCGCCGCTTTTTCCAGGCGCACAGCAGGGAACCAAGAGCCCCCTGCGTCCACGCCGCCGCTAGGCCGGGACCCACGCCAGCATCTCGGCAGCATAACTCCTTCCAGACTAAATCGTCTTCCAGGTTTCTGTTTTGTTCGTGTTTCCCCCGTGGTTTTTGCCTGGCTGGGGAGGGCGTCGAGCCGCGGGGATTCGTTTGCCACATTGTTTTCTTTGTTCCCCTGGACCACGTGGGGCCGGCGCAGTGGGAACGGGAACCATTTCTTTTGGTTTTGCCCTAGGTGTGTGTGGGGGAATGTAACAATTTTTTACCTTTGTTGGTTTTGTGAGTAAACCATTCTTTTTCCTCTGTATTGCTGTGTTATTTGTGAGTTTTACCTCAGTAAAATTGTGAGACTAACGTTTTTTAACCTCTCGCAGTCTTTTTTTGTTTTCCCTCTCAAGGGGTGGCTTGAGCAGTCTTAACTTTTTTTCTCCCCGCTGAGTTTTTAAAACCAGCACAGCCTGCAAGGAGAGCATCCTCGCTGGGATGTCACCTGCTTCTGCTCAGCACGTTAGTAGTGAGGAGTGAGCCTGCTGGCCTCTGTACGTGCCAGCTCCTGGGCCCAGCTCCCCGCAGCAGGGAAAGTCCTTGGGCGTTGCCCAACTCAGCCAGTAGTGAGGTGTCACTGGGTATTTGGGCAGGCGGCAGCATGGCAACACCAGCTCCAAGAGGAGATGCTTCCACCATCTCCACGGAGCCTCCTACTGCCAGGAAGCTGCTCTTTCCTGTAGCCTCCCAGCCTCAAGCAGTTGGATTATTTTCCTTGTTTCTAAGGTGATTTGGGCAGTGTGTCCCTTCCAGACCTGCACTGGTGTCCCTCCAGGTGAAGCGTGGGGACTTGCTATGGGTGTCCCTGAGCATGGCTGGTACCAGTTGATGTAACTGCAGCTGTGCACAGGCAGTGGTGACTGACAAAGCTGCCACACCTACCCCACCAGTGACACCCTCAGAGCCCACTTGACTCTCACAAGGACCCACCTCTCCTCTCCCAAATGTTCAGACCCAGGTATCTGGGATGCTCTCCCCAGGCCTAGGCAGTCACTGAGCAAGCCTCTCCACATGCGCTGCAGCTGGACTTACAGGCACACAAGGGACACGCACACACAGGAGTGGTGGGGGGATCTGCCTGCTGCCAGGGACACAGACAGGAGAAGGCTGCAGGGCTCAGGTCTTTTATTGCAAAGAGGGAGATAATACAAAAAAGGACAGTCACCCCTTTCTGGGTCCCCCCAGGCCTGCAGCTGGCTGAGAGGGGTGACAGCAGGGGAAGGCCCAGGCGTTGCTCCTCCTGCATGGGGGCCTTGGCTTACACAGTGGGGAGCAGGTTGCTGCCAAGGGCCACACTGGAGCCAGGGCCATCCACAACAGTAAAGCAGGTGACCTGCTGTGTCCCTGTGTGGTGCCCTGCCTGGCCAGAGGGCAGTGCTGTATGGGGAGCACTGGTGGGGGAGCCTGGCACAAGATAGGGCTGCCTGGCCCCAGCCAGACACAACACCTGGCAGGCAACCCTGGCTTCCTCCTCTACTCTGCTGCCTGTTTCACTTGGTGGGGTGCTGAGGTCTCAAACTGCTCTGCAGCCTTATGGAGGCCACTACAGGGGGCCCTCACCATGCGACCCTCGGGGCCCTGAGCAGCTTCGCCCAGGGAGGGAGGGAGCAGGGTTGTTGCCCTCTGTCCAGGCGGGGAGCTCAGTGGCCTCCGGTTTGTCGGTACTGCCAGGCATGGTGGTGCCCAGGCTGTAGCTCCTGCTGGCTTGTCACGTGTTGTCCCGGGCCAGCTCCTCGGGGCAGGCAGGCTGGTTCTGGGACTTGCGCAGCCCTACTGTGGGCAGTTGGGCTGGGTCACTGTGCTGTAGGTCTGGCCCTGATGGTGTGTGGTGCTGGTGCCGCTGGTACTGCACAAACATACAGACCTTCATCCCAATGGCAAGCATGTTTTTGCCCATGAAGATGCTGGAGACCCGGGCGTCCCTGAAGAAGACCATGTTGCTGCCTCGGATGAAGATGGTGGTGATGTTTACAGTGAGCATGCTCAGCATGGGGTACAGCATCATCCGGTGCGGCACGATGCCAATGCCCTGCATGCTGATCTCACACAGGGACACGCACGGGAGGACCAGGAGCAAGATGTAGCAGTAGAAGAACATGATGCCCTCAGCCCAGAGCGGCAGCCCCTTCTTCTGTGGCTCCCACAGGTTGGCCTGGATGTCCAGCACATCCAGCATGTCCACAATGACCCAGAAGAGGCGGTTGCGGAGATCTTCCTTCTTCTTGAATGTTCTGACATACTCCATATGCTCTGTGGCCACCAACAACACATAGAGGGCTGGGATGCAGATGGAGAGCAGTAAGGTCAATGCTTTGCGAGCTATGAGGTCCAAGCTTTTCCGGTCAGCTTTATAGTTCTGGTACACAAAGTAGACTTTGATCTCCAGAACGAAGACATACAGGAACCAGAGGATCATGGCATAGCCCCGCTTAGCTGTCTTTACCTCTGCCCCGACCCAGATGGCCACATAGCGGAGGACCAGCAGGAAGCACAAGTCACCCACTGCCACCATGACACAGATGCCCAACTTCCTGGAGCCCTGGCTCTGCTCCACCAGGTAGGCATCCATGAGGACGAGGCTGGTCATGATGAGCACAGTGGAGAGGCACACGTGGGGCTTGCTGACAGGTGGTGGGGGAACCATCCTGCACAGAGGAACAGGTGGGGTTGTCAGGGAGTTGCTGAGATTTCCTATCCCCACCCTTGGGCCCCCTTCTGCTGCCCTCTCCCCAACAGCTGTGGATGGCTGAAAGAAGGGAGGGGGGCATTCATAGATTTCAACCATCCTATGTGCCTGGTTTGTTCCAAACCTGCAGACTTCTAGCCAAAGTACTCCTGAGACTACTGACCAGGCCATCCCTGTGGCCCATGATGTCTGAAGCCCAGCTCCTAGGCTGCACATAGTGGGACAGGCTGGACACTTGGGACACTTCAAGCACTTGGGATGCCACTGCCTCTTCTGGTAGCTCATCTCACTGGCTAGTCTCTGCCACCATGAAGGGTATGTGCCTTATTTTCCATGGGACTTCCCAACCAGTGGCACTGGTTATATTTTTCCCCCCAAGGCACATAAGACCACAACTATGCATTTAACCCAAGCAGGCTCTTAACTGCTATGATCCAGGACTGTTCTTTTTAGACTCCTTATTCTCATGCACAGCACAAGATGAAGGGTTATTTTTAGCCTAGCTATCCTGTGGGGTGGGAGGGAAGAAATCAGCCCAATATTCAGTTTCCTTCAGGTTCATGGTCCCCAAGAGCTTTGCCTAGAGCTGTTTGCCCATGCCTACCCTGCCCCAACACCATAAACTGAAAGCAAGGAAAAGCAGCACCAGCCCACAGCTCCAGGACACAAGGAGCTCTGCAACAGGCCCTCAATTTTGGCAGGATGCTCAGCTTTCCTGGGCTGGGGCAGAGCAAAGCACCGTCCCCAAAAGGACCCTGCGTGCCTTGTATGGCACCAGGACTGTCAGACTCCCTCCTCCTGACCAAGCACAGCTGCAGGCAGCTGCTGTCAGAGGCAGAGAGGGAGGACAGAGTCGGGGCCTCGCCAGGCACAACTCAGCAGCTGCTCTGGAGGGGAGCCAGCCCCCCGGATGAAATGGAGGATGAAGCTGGGCTGATGACTGTGTGGCACAGTGCTGCACGATGGCTGCCCACGCAGAGCTTGCCTCAGCCACACCTGGGCCATGCAGGGGCACCAGGACACCATCCTGGTCATCCAGTGGGCAGTGTGTGGGTGGCATCTGACCATAGAGCAAGCCACTTGAAAGCAGGATGGAGACTGCACAGTTAATGGTCACCTCTGCACACGGATGCTCCTGGTGCTGAAACTGATGGCACAGGGCCCTGAGCACAAGCTACCTGAACTGCTTTTTGGCTGAGGGAGCAGGTGTCCGGCACAGTCGTGCATCTCTGGGCCCAGCAGCATCCTTGCATGTTGTGGGAGGCAGTGAAGCCTGAAGCTGCCAGACACAGGTGCCTCTCAGGGGGAAGAGATCAGAGGCCGGTGAGCTTGGGGGAGCTCATGGATGTGGCACATCTGGAGCGCGCCACACGGCTGGGGCTCACGCGCCTGTCACTCCACGGCCTTCCCGAGCCTCCGGAGAGACTGGGGGTACCCCAAGCCCCGGTTCAGCAGGGCCTCACCACACGGACGCCCACCCCGGGGCCCGAGTGGGGCCGCCCCGCCGGGCCGTGTCCCCTCTGGGTGCCCGGGCGCCCCCGACCCCGCCTGCCCAGAGCCCCCTTCCCACGCCGGCCGGGCCTCGTCGGGGGCGGGCGCTGCCCGCCGGCCGCGGCAGCTCGGCCCGCAGGCCCCCCGGGGTCCCGCTTACCTCGGGCGGCTCCCCGGGGCGCAGGGCAGCGGCGGCGGCGGCCCCGGGCCCGGCGCGGCATCGCCCGGCGCGGCCCGGCGGCGATGGCTCTGCGGCGACGGCGCTGGCGCTTGGCCCCTCCCGGTGGGCGGCGGGCGGAGACTGCGGCGGCCCCCGCCTCACTGGCGGGCCCGGCGCCGCCCGCCGCTCTTCCTGCTCCTGTTCCTCTCTGCCCGCCGCCCCTGGGGCCCCTCGGCGGGGCTCCCTGCCGCTCCCCTGCCGTCCCCATCAGCTCCCGCCCTGGGGCCACGTCCTGCACCCCCTCCCTCCTCCAGCCAACCTCCCACCCCACGGCCTCCTCCTGCCCCTCCGCCCTGCCCCGGCCTGACACAGACCCCTCACGGCTGCAGCCCAGCAGTGGTCCCAGGAAAACCTGTGGCGCACAGGGAAGCCTGGGCTGACAAGGGTCCTGCCTGCCCTCCAGGAGGGACTGGGGCCAGGACCTCTCCTTGCTGGGGCCTCACTGGTGGAGGAGGCGGGGGAACGCATGCACCTCTGTGACCTGGCACCCAGCTATGCTGGTCTGCAGGATCCTGGGAGCTCCAGCTCCTCAGGACTGGTACAGCTGGGCTTGGCACAGCCAGGGGCTTGTGTGCAGATAAACCAAGCCAAGGAAGGTGAAAGGTTTCCCTTACCTTGGCGGATATACCTCTCTGCAAATGCTCTTCTATCAGCCTAAGCAGCTTATTGCATTTAACTCTGAACTTGCTTCTAAGTGATTTAGGTCTTAGCTACACAGGGAAGGTTTAGCAGTGTATTTCTGGCTTTAAAGTGCTCATTGTAAACATATGTATTTTTGGGAGATGGGGAGGCTCTTGGATCTCTGGAGATGGGCTAAGAGCAAAACCAGATATAGACCTGAGACCGAGGACAAGTGCAAGTGACAGAGTGCCAGGGGAAATGCAGCCCACCTTGCATAAGTTCCTGACAGGGTAGCCATAGGTCCTTGTTGTATCTGATGCCCTGGAGCACCTCGAGTGGCATCATGAACATATGAATCCCATCTGCAGTGTCCATGGCAAATGGAGACATTGGACCAGCATCCAGGCTTAGCTCATGTGTCCCATGGTGAGTGTGGACTAGTTGGTGCAGGCAGGTGGAGGGCCTCTGTGAAGGCAGCAGAGCTCTGCCTTACAGAGGTACAACAAGGTAGAGTTTGGCTGTGGGATCATTCTCCTAGCCCCAGAATAAGCAGCAATCCCCAGAAGGGCTGAAAGAGCAGGAAAACAAAGCAGCCTAAACAACCTGCCTCCAAAAATGAAACCTTGCAACTCAACCTCAGTGGAGAGCTCTGTGAGGCACAAGAGGGCAAGCTGACACAGAAAAAAACTAGCTCTTTTCTACTGGATGCAGAAGCACCAGCTCTCACTTGCTATCAGAGCAATCTCTTGCAGGTTCAAGGGGTTTCTGTCTATGAAGGTGCCCAGGGAGTGGGACACCACAGAGGTACCTATGTGACAGAGGTAGGACAGAGGTGCTGGAGGTCACTACCAAGCAGTGCAGCTAAAGATAAGATGATTCATCTGTGAGCTGGAATCATAAAACCCTTGAGTCTTCACTAGAGACTAGGACGGGAGGTGACAACATCTGCGTGGGAAGCAGTGAAGAACTGCTTTAATGAGGCACATAAAAATAAGGAATCAGAGCAAGAGCAGATACCTGTGCTTCTCTAAAACATGATGCTGGAACCAGGGTGCCAGAGTTCATATGTGGAAGTAGCTGTATCAGAGACAAAACTGAAGGAAACCAAAGGGGGTACACCAGCGTTCCCAGGCACATAGCTGCTCCCCGGCTGCTGCTGGCTTGACCTGGGTGAAAAAGCATCCTCAGCTTAGCCCTGTGCTGCCTGTGACACCTGCACCCCACTGTTGTCACTGAAGAGTCCCTCTAGGGCAGTGACAGCAATGCAGTCTAAGGCTGATGGGAGAGAGCCAGAGAAGTCCATCAGAAATCCAACCTTCATCTGGTTAACATCCTTAAAGGGGAACTGCAGGAAGCAGAGGAAGTTTGTCAGCAAGGAATAGCAAGCAGTGGTTGCAATGGGGAAAGGCTGGTAGCGACCTGGGGACCATGCTGAGAGCTTCAACTGCTCCAAAAGAGGCTTGTGACCCCCAGAATCTGGCCACAGAGCTCAAGAGGTGGCTGGAACTGGTGGGCATCGTTTAGGAAAGCAATTTAAAAAACCTCCAAACAAGTGGGGAACAGCCTGTGAGTAAGCTGATCAGAGGGTGCTAGGAGATGTCTTAACATCACAAAAAAAGGCTAATGTGAGCAAGGTGTTGGAAGGCGACATCAGAGTGGAGAAGACAGAAATTGGGCATGACAAGTAGGAAAACAAAGGAATTAATATAGAGTCAATTCAGGGAACTATTTGTCAAAAATACAGAATGGAGGGAATAGAGCAATGGGGTGCAAGCTGGGCCTCTGAAAAAATGGTGTCTATTGGAAAACCTTGATTTCAAACACAGGTACATGCAGCATCACACACCTTGATGGTACAGAGAGTGGGTGCTGCTACTTCTGCTGCAAGCAACTCAGAGGAAGAGAGAAAGGACTATCATGGAAAAACAGCAAGTTAAGGCACTTAGTGCAAAGCTGTGGTAGAGCACACATGCTGGACCACCTGGATGTACCTAGAGGGGGACACTGTAGCTGGTAACACATGCAATCATGGCAGCCTGGGCTCATAAGGATTTTGAAAATTGAGGCTTTTAGCATTGAATCCGGAGCACACAAATCCTGCAGCCACCCCAGCCCTTCACAAGGTGAAGTATCCGAGTGGCAGAGTAGGGACCAGCAGCCCAAGCACTGGTGATGCAGCACTGTCCCAGGGCCTGGAGGCTGGGCTGGATGTGGGGCCAGCCCTGGGAATGGCTGTGTGGGCCACAAACACCGGGGGCCAGTGCAGATCTACGCAGCCTGCTCAGGACAAAGACACACTCATGGCTCGTTGGCATGGGGGGCAGTGTGTAACCAGCAGCATCTGTCTGTCCCATCCAGGCTGCGGGGGCCAGAGCCCTCTCCAAATATCCTCTATACACCCTCCAGCCCCAGCCGTATGTCACAGGTTTACTTGTTCTAAAAAAACCAAGTGGGAATTTTTTTTCTTTTCCCTGCATCATTAGGAAAGAGGGATGCTGAAGGAGGGAGGGGGAGGGTGATTTTTTGGCTGGGGTGATTGACACACACAAAAGAACTGGCCACAGCCTGCATTCCACACTGATGGCCCTCAGAAGACTGGGGGGGGCTTCTGAGGAAGTAAGTTTTTTTCCTCGCCTCAGGAAACCGCAGGCACTCCACTTTTGCCCTGACTCAGGGAGTGTGTGTGTGTATGTGTGTGTGTAAAGGCTCCGAGCTTGTTTTGTTTTCGGCCAGGTCATCTGGCTGCTTTTAGCCGCCCTTCGCCTCCGTTCTCCCGCACCCTGTTCTGCCCCCAGCCTGGACCTGCGGGGATTTCATCAGAGAGGCTTGGCCCTTCTGCGAAAGAACCTTTGGGGGAGGAGGCCGGCCCTTCCCTCCTCTGCTCCCATGCTTGTGCCCGTCGACAAGAAGGGGGGAGTCCCGGCCGGAGCCAGCCGCCGACAGCGTGAGTCTGTGGGAAAAGCCCTTTTTTTCTCCCCCCCTCTTCCCCTTCCCCTTCTCGGTGTGGGGGAATCTCCATTTCGGCTCCTCCCGCGCTCCGGGGCCCTCACGCGGCGACCGCCAGAGCCCAACAGCGCCCCCTGCCGGCCACCAGGGAGCAACTGCAGCTCTGCTCCTCCAGTGATCCAACAGCGCCCCCTGCTGGCCCTGGTTAGAATTGCGCCAAAAGGCGGAAAGTACTGAACGGGGTTTTTTGGAGGGGACTTTGGGTACAGGATTAGTGTTTAGTTGGTTTTGTGTTCTTTTGTTGTTCTGCCAATACGCGTATATCCTTTAATAATGGGCTGTTATCTTTTCTTTCTCCATACTTCCTCAACTGCAGCCTCTTAATTTCAGATTTACAATTGCTTAGAGGGAGGAGCTTGGTTTTCCTCATAACTCATCTTCCTTAGCAAAACACTTCAGTCTCATTAAACTGAGACACCGTAGCACCCCCAGCAGCACAGGATGAGCCCCTCTCAGCCCCAAATTGCCCAGGGCACAGCAGAACAAGCCTGCACTGAGCACCCCCAGCAGCACAGGATGAGCCCCTCTCAGCCCCAAATTGCCCAGGGCACAGCAGAACAAGCCTGCACTGGGCCTGGTGCCTGAGAACGGCGCAACTTTCCCACTGCTCTGGGCTGGGCTGGGGCTGCTGGCAGAAGGTGCCTGCAGGTTGTGGCGATGAGGGAGAAAACATGGCTTTGAACACAAAAGGTGCTATTACAGCTAAAACCATGACAGCTTGACAGCGATGTCTGTACTGAACAGAAATGCTCTACTCCAGAGCAGCTGCTGTGTCTTGCTGCACCTCAACCTTGTTCAGGGGCAAAGACAACGTGTGGCTCTTCCAGGAACAGTGTAGTTGAGAAAAATGATGGCCTGAAGGGATCGGGTGTCCTCTAAAGGCTTGACCAACACATAGAGGCACACTGTGGCACCTTGTCTGCCCAGAGCAAAGGTACTGTCTGCTATGATATCTCTAAACAGTGTTGAAGTGCTGGGCATGCTCATGGGCATAGTCAATTTGGATAGCAGTGACACATAAAAAAACAAGTAAAAGGGCTTTTCTGGAGGTAGATTTCAAGCTGGTTACCTGGATGTTAAAGAACAAGGGTTCCTTGTGTACTTTCCCTGATGTGCTCAAGGATCATATCCACAATGAAGCAAACAGCTGGTGGTTGGCACGCAGAAAGGTCTCAGTGTAAGAGGAGATGGGGACACAGTTGAATGTGATGGCAACTCTACTGATCTCTGTTTAAGCTGAAAGATAACCAGGCTCTAGTATGACAAACACATGAAAATTCTGACCCCAAAGGCAGGGAAAAGCCACCATGTGTGGAAGAGCACAGTTGTGGGTAGCTCATGCTGTAGGCACAAAGCCAATATAACATGAAGGCAGGAAAAAATAAAGAGTGCGCTGTGTAGCCAAGCCCCCAGATAAACAAGGCAAATTGAAACAGCCTGAGAACAAATGCATAAATTCATCTCTAGAAAAGCCAGAAGGCCAAAATAAACAAGTAAGCTGCATTAAGGCAAGAAATGAAGGGAACAGGCTGCAGGGAGAGAGACAGAGAAATCCATCTGAATCCCGCTGAACATCCCTCCAAGGGAAATGCAGCCAAAGGAGGAACCTCATCAGCCTGAAATTGCAAGTGGTTACTGCAATGGGCAAAGGCCATTTGTGACCTGGGGATCATGCTCAGAGCTTCAACAGCTCTGAAAAAGTGTCACAGATTGTAAAGCGTGGCACAGCCACAGGGCAGAGCAGAGGTGGCTGGAAACGATGGGCATCCTTCAGGAAGGCAGGGGGGAAGTGGCCAAGGGGAGCAGCAGGACTGCCAGCCCTTGGGAGCTGCCTGGAAGGCTGTGTTCAAGGGCCATCACTTCAGCAGGCTGCCCTGGGCTGAGCAGAGAGGTGCTTCTGGTCTCCTGGAAGTGAGAGTGTGTCTCAGTTTAATGAGACTGTAGTGTTTTGCTAAGGAAGATGAGTTATGAGGAAAACCAAGCTCCTTCCTCTAAGCAATTGTAAATCTG